TTTTAAGCATGCATAATTAAAGTAATCCATATTCCCTGTACCATCAAAAGGAACCAACACCAAGGCAGGGAAAAACAAAGCTATTTTGAGCAACCCATAACCAAGCTGCTAAAACAAAATATAAAAGACCCACAGTAACACTGGAGTCATTAAGAAGGTCCTGTCCTCTTGTTTCATTTTCAGCGTGTACTTTGTGGTAATGCTCCGACAAATCAATAGCAGTTATACATCTTTTCATACATAATGGGCAGATGAAACCCTGTGAAATAACAACTTTTAGAAGGATATACAAGTTTTTTATAAGCAAAGTATAACAGTGTCAATAGACATAACAAGAAAAAATTAATGTATCTGTTGTCAGTATATGCAAATGAAACTTTCAAATAGGAACTGTACTGTACAAAAGGGAAAAGATCCAAAAAATGCTAAAATTTAGTTCCTATACTCGTATATAAATTTGCACTGATTCAGTTTTTAAAATTACCCAGGTGGATTAGTAGAAATATTCTTTTGCTTAAGACACAGTTTTCAAATTTTCTTTTGTTTCCCTTACTTATCTGAGATCTACAATAAGACTGGCCAGTTTTTATTTTAGATCAGAACATTGCTGGAAGGGACAATAAATATCTTTTTGCGATATAATGTTCTCAAAGAGAAAATTATTTAATGAAACCAATTTTTAATCTTTACCATATTTCATTAACCTAAGGACCCATTCTCACCCATACTCATCATTTCCAGTAGATGACCCATCCTTCCATTGTTCTGAACCAAGCAAAACCATTTTAAAACCTCCCACGTTCTTTACACCTAGCAATATCTATACTTTAAAATGTGATCTGCTACACTGACTGATGACTTGAGGTTCTGTCACTAAGAATAACAGAAGGCAGCCGGGCATGGTGGCGCACGCCTGTAACCCCAGCATTCCGGAGGCTGAGGCAGGAGGATCACTGTGAGTTCGAGACCAGCCTGGGCTACACAGTGAGTTCCAGTTCCAGGTCAGTCTCAACTACATAGTGAGACCCTGTCTCAAAAAACCAAAAAAGAAAAACAAAAACAAAAACAAAAGAAGGTTCAGGGATTTAGCTCAGTGGTTCCACAACCTGCCTCACAAGCACAAGAACCCAAGTTGGATCCCCAGTACCAAAAAAAAAAAAAAAAAAGAATAACAAAAAGATGAGAGAATAAGGGAACTGAGAAAGCAAGTAAAATATGGTGGTAAAGATAAAAGGTTATAATGGTTATAATATCATGCATTTTGGTGCCATAATCAGATGTCAATTTAGGCTTCAATCAAAGCTAATTATATACAACCTTCAGGAAATTACTCTGTTGAGTGTCAGTTTCCACATCTCTAAAATGGGGCCAATATTAGTATCTATTCTTCTAGAGATATTGTATGTACAAAGGCTTAATATTGTGCCTGAGAATTTTAAGTACTCAACAAACTGCTGAGAAGTTGAAGAAAATGAAATTTTTTTAAATGATTTAGAAACTAGAAGAAAAGATAGTAATTAAAAGACTATTATTCATCAAGGCCAAATAAACTGAGTAGAGAAACTATGACAAGGACAATTTTTGAATAGACAGACAATTATGGTAAAGAATGGGGAGCAGTTTCAGTTGAGTCTGTTCTGCCTGGTGATAAAGTAGAAGGTACTGCTATGGAATTGAATACTGTACCTAAAAAGAGGTAATAATGATCATTAGTGGAAACTTTAGGAACTGAGAAGCTAGACCAATGATGGTGAACCTTTTAGAGACCGAGGGCCCAAACTGTAACCCAAAACTCACTTATTTGTCACAAAGTACCAACACTGCAATCCAACCAGAATACTGAGGTTTTAGTTTAGAAAAAACAACTGTCATCCAATGTTCAGCTACCAAGGCAACATGGATTGCATGCCCGCCACAGCACATGTGCCATGGGTTTAGGCTATTCCTTGATTCACCAAAGTCATTTAGGATAATGGAATGGAAGGTGAGGTAGACCACTAAAAAGGCTGCAAAGTAGGAGGCAAGACAGAGTAGCAAGTAAGAGCTAGCTAGGTTTGAGCTTGAATCCAATTCATAGCACTCCTGGCAGCTGTGTGACCTTATTTTCCTCACCTGTTATGTGGAATAACAACAATACCTACTTCATACAGATCTCAAGACAATTAAATGAGATAAATCATGCAAAGCACTTATCATGGATCTTATACAATGAAAACATTCAATAAATGTTAGTTATCATTACTGTCATTATTCCTTTTGTTAACAATCCTTAAAAGAGATCATTCAGAAAATGAAAGTCAGGAGCCTAAGTTCATTTTTATTAACTGATGAGAGTTGTTCCAATAAACCACAGTTTTGAGAGCTTGAACTACAAATAATACTTCTTTAAAAGATTTTTTGTTTGTTCTCTTTTTGTCACAACTTTATGGTGCATTTCTTTTTACTCCATTGTTCACTGTAAGCTTCTATACCCAATCATGCAAGCAGCACTCACTCAAAAAGTATTTACAGTGTGACTGATTACTCTGCTCCAGCTGCAATGCTATGGTGCTGAGAATACAATGGAAAATGAAGCATACTCCCTGCTCTCCAGAAGCTTATAGGCTTGAAAAAGTCACCAAAATTTTTTTTAATTACATTTTATATCCCACTAATCAGAAAACCCTATTTTATCTACATTCAAAATACAACCAGAATCTCAGCACCTCTACTCTCACACGCTGATCCAAACTACCATCACCTATACAGGGATCACTGCAATATCCTCCTAATCATGTCTCTGCGTCTACCCTGAACCCACTAACTGCCTGTTTTCTACATGGCCCCTAAAGTGTATCCAATAAAATACATGCACAAACCTTGTCATTTCCCTACTGAAATTGCCCCCTGGCTTGGCATCTCACTGACTTAAAAACTAATGTCCATACAAGTCTATCTGGCCCTTGATGAGTGGGCCTGATTTCCTTGCTAAGCCAGTCTCTCCTCACTCACCACTCTGAAGCCGTGCTGGCCTCCTACCTACAATCTAGATGCAGACCCGCTCTTACCTCAGAGATCTTCCACTCACTCCACATGCCTGGAACATCAATCACCCAAGTAATAACTGGACTCGTTTCCTCACCTCTTCAGTTCTTTCTGAGCTATCCGCTTCTCAGAGAAGACTTCACTGAGAGCCACTTCAAACACTTTCCAAGCCTTCTTTCCTGTTTGATTTTTCTCGATAACTCTGTCACCCTTGGAACATTTTCACTGTGTTTTGGCTTTTGCATGTTTCCACCGCTTGAATGTAAGATCCAACATGACAAATGTTTGGGTTTTTTATTTTTTGGTTTTTTGGGGGTTTTTTTTATTTTGGTACCATTTTATTTTCGGCTATATCTCCAGCATCCAGAATAGCATCTGGTAGCAGCAAATGAATAAATCTCATAATAATAACCATTACCAAAGAGACAAAATACAATTTCACATCAGCACATGGAAAAAGCACCTACCCCACATTTGAGTTAAGGAACGTTTACTGGAAAAAGAAATATAGGCAATGACACCTAATAGTAAAAGCAAAAGGAATGATACGGTCTGGATGTTTATAACCCAAAAACACACATAGGACATGCGTCCAGGCAAATCCCCAGACTAAAAGGAGGTGCAGCCATTGGAGAGATGAGCAGGTCTTGAAGGCACAGTCCTCATGGATAGGATCTGTGTCTCCATAAAGTAAGCACAAAGGAGGTCTTTCATCTATCTATCGGTGAAAATTTGGGACAGCAAAACTGCTGGTGCCTTGATTTTAGACTTCCTATCTCCGGAACTTCAAGAAATAAACATTTGTTCTCTATAACAGCCCAAATTAAGACAAATAGGTAAAGAATAAATATTAGCTTATGTAAAAGCACAGAGATAGAAGAGAAAACTTGGCACACTGTAAAAGCAGAGGAAATTTAATATGCCTAAGGATGACGAAGAAGATATGAAGCTGTAATGCTCTAGAAATGTAGCTCAGTGTAAGAGTACTTACCTAGCATTCAAGAGACCCTAGGTTCACTCCCAGCTACACAAAATACTAATCAAAAAAGAAGGTACACACAAGGACAAAAAGTTCCAATTCACCAAGGAGACATAAAAGGTCTAAGAAAACAGCATGTGAAACCAGGGACTATAAATCATCTATGGGAGAAATGTGGCTAGGAATCAATGCAAATATAACACCTACCTAAAGAAGGGACTTCGAGTCAAAAGAAAGATTTTGTTTTTTCCTTTTTTTTTGGTGGGGTATTCTTCTCTTATTTTCTTATCTATTACACTGAATGATGATAGGAACAAATCATAATGGAGCTAAAAAAAAAACTAAATTGGCAAGAGAGAGACAATAAGTCAGGAATGAAACAGAATGGAATCCAGAGAACTAGAGGACAGACTGAAATCTGATAAGCAAAGGTACCTACCTTCCCTGTACTAAAATAAGAAAGCACAGACACAAAGATGATTTTAATGATATAACAAGGACATTTATCTGATGGATCATATTTCCTCAACATTTTGGAAGGTTAACTAGGGAAAGGTAAAAAGAGAGTAAGAGATACAGCAGTCCTGAGATAATGAATGTTTAAAATAACTGTCTCAAAAAGTAGTAAAATGAACTGGGCATGGTATCACATACTTGAAGTCTCAGTAAATGGGAGGCTGAGGCAAGAAGACCGTTGACAGTTCAAGGCAAGCCTGGGCGATATAGTGAGTTTAAGGGCAGCCTGAATTACATAGCAAGACCTAGTCTCAAAACACACTAAATAAATAAATAAATAAAATTTAAAATGCACTTTATCAATCTTACAACTAAATACGGTTATACATAAACAATCATGATTTAAAAGTAACATTCTAACTTGTAACAGACTTGTGAGAACTTTTTTTGAGCAGCTTAGGTCACCATTCATTACTACAAATGTTTGCTAATTTTCCTTAAATAATAGTGCATTTTATTGCCAACTTTATTGCATTCATACCTCTGAAGAGCTTTCATTATTGACATCCACAGTGTTTATAGGAGTTGCGGAAGAATCTAAATCAGAACCTTGAGAACCAACTCTCCCAGGAGTCTGAAACACAGAAAAGAGGAGAAAAATCAAAGCAAATATTAACAATACATCCATTAGCCATGAAATAGTGCAATGCTTTCAGGTAAAAGTGGATGTCTTCACAATAATAACAAACAGTACTAACTGTATCCTTTATGAAGACTGTGTCTAACATTGAATGTATCAAGTTCTCTATAAGCATTCTCTCCTTTTCTTTTTAAAGTTTATTTCTAACTACAATGTCTTACAGTTCTCAAACTTTCACAAAATGTCTTATTTAATTATAATGATACCTCTACAGAGGAGAAAACAGATTTAAAGTAGCTAAGTGACTTATTTGTGACTGTTCTATTAACAACAACAAAAACAAAGAATCAGAACTAAAATTAAAACACTGATATTCTGATTCCTCCTGCATTTTTCTGTTTACTACATGAACTCTAACTACAGTGGTTTGAGTAGTGCTAAGAAACCAACACAGCCCGTAATTATCCAGTCATCCACTCACCTATCTCTCAGGTCAACCATTGCTACTGTTAAACATTCCCTGCGCACACATACACACAGCAGCATTTATTATCTAACATTATCACTCATAAATACCTAGGTGTTAAACAAATGTGAACATTGGAAAAAAAGAGACTCAAAGCACAAGTCTTGACTCAATAATTTTCATCAAGTAGGCGAAAGGGAATAGGGGAAAAGAAAAAAATATGAAAAAATGGAAATAGTGTTTGTAAATGGGGAGGGGAAGAGAGGGTGAAGGGAGGGCAGGGACAAGGGTAAAAAATGAGAACCACGACCTGTCATGTAAAGGTACAAGATCCCAGTAATGAATGTAACTGTACTGCATACCTAGAATGTACCAATAAACCCAATAAAAGGAAAAAAAATAATAATTTTCATCAAAAATATATGTGGTACATGTTAGCACGCTTCCCCCTGTAGACAAAAAGACAACAAGGCACAGAAAGTTAAAAAACTTGCCAAAAGTATGTGGCTGATGAATGGAAAAGCAGCTATGTGGATCTTAATCATCACTCTATACTGCTGCTCTGCTATGTACCTCCACTGAATATACCAAAAATGCCCAACATGAAGAACTCACTTCATATTTGCCTCACACAGGAATATCTGGTACAGTGCCAAATATCTGGTACACAACAAATAAGTGTGAACTGATACTATTTTGAATTCATCAATTAAAATGATTGTTAAAGCTGCATTAAATGGAAAAATATATATGACATTAATATTACATATTAAAACTATATAAGAAAAAAGACTAAGTATTTTAAAATGCAAGTAATGGCTGGGAATGGTGGCACATGCCTGTAATCCCAGCACTCGGGAGGCTGAGGCAGGAGGATCTGTGTGAGTTCAAGACTAGCCATAGTGAGTTCCAGGTCAGTCTGAACTACATAGTGAGACCCTGTATCAAAAAACAAAAAACAAAAACAACAACAACAACAAAATGCAAGTAATGACTTCTATGATAAGATAGGATTGTGGGGGCTTGGGATTTTATTTTCTCATTTGTTTGTTTGTTTTTCAGTTTTTTGAGACAGGGTCTCACCATGTAGTCCAGGCTGGCCTTGAACTCACTGTGATCCTCTTGCCTCCACCTCTCAGAGAGTGGGGATTAGAAGTGTGCACCACTACACCCAACTCAGTTTTTGGTTTTGCTACTTTTTTTCAGAACTTTAATTACAGATGAATTAATTTTATATTGAAAAAGTACTTTATATTAAACATATTTCTCCAATTGGATAATCCATATTCTTTTTTATTCCCAAATGCAGATACTTTGCCCATTATTTATATTTTGTACTTACTTGTAAATTATCCTTACATGAATTGAGAAACTGAGATAAGTAGAAAATAGTAACAGGTAAGTAAGGCTACAAGAAAACTACCAAACTTTTTTCACAAAGGAGAAATTAAACGATCTTCAAGGTTTTTTTTTGCAGGCTTGAACATCCCTAATCTGAGAATCTGAAACACTGCAGAGATACTCAACCTGTATTTCTACACCATTCTCAAAAGAACTCCAGCTTCTATGAGTCTTACTAAAGACTGACAAGGAAGAGGCATTTACTAGTGTTTTCAACACAGATGGCTAGAGAATAGCAGAGGCACATTTCTGAGGGGACAGATGTCTTACTAAAAAGTGACAAGCAGGATATCAATCTAACCTTAGTTACAGACGGAGGAGGTGACAGCTGTATCCTGTCCAGGGACAGTAGCAGCCACCACACCCTGACCAAATCAAACAGAAAGTAGAATTTTGATAAAATGCTGAAGATAAAGGATGCAAAATAAGTCTCTGACCAAAAGCAAAAGGAAATGAGAGGAGCTGGACTTGAGGAGTCTCCGTGTTGTTGTCAATATCAGCAGACACTGGCCAAAGTGACATGGCTGCCATTTTCAGAGAAGTCAGAGAAAGTATGCCAACTGAATACATGAGGGAAATCACACATGAGCATTGCAAACTACAGATCCAGAGCCAACCCCACTTCAGTCAACTGGGAAGGCCATGGGGAACAATCCCACCATCCTACCATTGGGTATTTAAAAGCCTCACAGTTACAATCATTTTACTTCCCCTTTAGGGTTAGGGCTCTTAGCATAAAAGTAGCTCTGTCTTTGACAGATAATCTGGAGCAATATGAAACTAAGCCAGTGGAATTTATCCTCTGTATCTTGAGTATTGGTGATGCACTAAAACTTGCAGTGACATTTTTGGTGGACACAGACTGAAAATTTCTAACCTCTGTTGCTCAGGGGTTTTTTTTGTTTGTTTTGTTTTTGGGTTTTTTTTTTTTTTTAATCCACTAAAATGACCTCAGACAGCTTTACAGAAACAAGAAACTTGCAACAAAAAAACCAAAGTCAAACTGTAAAGATTTGAGCCCCCGCCCCAGTCTTCCCAATGATGTATCTATCCTTAGCCACAGTGGATGTAACAGGTATACTGATCTAAGATTTTTCCTTCTCTGAATTCCTCTAAAGGAGTTCAATGGCCTCAAGAAATAGTTATCAGCTTGTTCTTCTTGTCCTAGGGAATCTCCAACTTCCTGGTACAGTGTGGGGGACAAGGCAATGGCTTCCACACTCCCTTTAAATTCTACCAACATTTAACTTTCCATAATTTTCTACAGTTATCCATATTATAACATTACTGTGTTGATTTAATGGCCACAAAGTTTTTATATTAACTACTTTAGCGTTCTATACTTCTCCAAAATGCAATGTAAACAATGTATTGTATACCTAAAATGTACCAATAAAAGAATTTAAGAAAAAAAAATACAATGTAAACTTCTTTCCCAAAATGATATACTTGAAGGCTGGGGATGTGACTCAGCAGAACAGTGCCTTCCTGGCAAGCATGAAGCTGGGAGTTCAATTCCCAATACCAAGAAAATAAATTTTAAAAATGATATACTTGAGACATAAATGTATAATAAAAGCTAGCCCTGGATTTGATGATATACTCCTGGGTATGACAAAGAGTGGTGAAAAAGTGAAGAGCATTTAAATTACATACCCAATAGAAAGAACAAAGTATAAAACTATAAACTGTTTTTTGATCCATTAACATGCTGACAGTGTCACACTATGATTTTTTAAACTACTAATCTAATTTACAGACAGCTAAATTAAGTAGAAATATTACAGGCAGCCAGAAAGGGGTAGGCCCTCAAGGGAGACAGTGTAAACGATGAGAACACATCAAAACTGTGGCTAAAGAACATCTGAAGAAGATTAAAGTCACAATAGCCAGATTTATGCACTTCCCTAAAGGATAAACAGAAGTGTGAGATTATTGGTGCCTTCCTTTTGAGATTTCCTGTATAAATAAACATCTCATTAGCAGTAGGCCATCTTCTCCCAACTACTAAGACTAAAACTACTGAGAGTAAGACTAAAGACCAGAATAAGACTACAGACTATCAACAGTTAGTGATGTCATCCATATGCCCCTGCTACTACTGGACCAACATCAGCCAAATACTGTACCTGTAATTTTTATGTTTATTTCTTTTTTTTTTATTTCTTTATTTTGTGGTACCAGTAATCGAATTCAAGACCTTGCACTTGCGAGGCAGGTGCAGTGTCACTAAGCTAAATCCCCAGCCCCATATCTGTAATCTCATTGGTTGATTATAGCTTTGACCCATGTTGTACCCACCTTGTGATTTTGCTTTATAAAACTTTCTCAGATAACTGGGCTGGTTGGCAACCCCTTCAAGACCCCTCCTGTCTCTGTCAGGAGCTATTCCTATTCCCTAATAAGTTTTCCTACTCTTAACTTCCATTGTTCCTTAGAATTCATTCTTCGACTTACAAAAACACAAACTCAGCATATCTGACATCTAGCAGTCGGTAGTTACATTTTTCCCCTCTATTAATCCTATCCCCAAAGGCCTCGGAAGCAAAATCTGTACATCCAAAGAACTATATTTTCCTCATTTCCTTTACTTTTTTCCAGATTCCAAGTGGCTTGTCACCTGAAATTTACTCTACCTGGGAGGAAGTAGGCAATTCAAAGAAATAGTGTACTTATGCATAATCCTATTGCCGCCGTCCTTTTACAGATTTGCCTAAAATGATCCTCATAAACAAGCATAAGTAAATTCAAGAGGCAAGGGGAATAAAAGAGAAAAAAAAACAGGATCTGTCATAAGATCTGTGGTTTTTGGTTTGTTTTTGGTACTGGGATCAAACTTGGGACCTTGCACTTGCGAGGCAGGCAGTGGAAAAACTGAGCTAAATCCCCAGCCTGGATCTGGGCTTTTGATGCCCATTTTTTAAACACACTCCCCTAATTATTGCTAAATTGTCTAAGAATGTCTTATTCTGTTCTTCTACTATTCAATGAAAACTCCAATTATAATGATACTGACCCTGAAGAACCAAATTAAATCATTCTAGCTTTCTTTTTACTGATTAAATTTTTATTTTGCAAAAACAAGGTTAAGACTCATTTGTGCTAAAAATTTTAAGTGATCAATGGC